GTGTTTAAAACTTATTCATTTTTTTCTAATTTTTGTATGTCCATTGGTGATATTTTTAAAGGAGTTTTAAAAAATTAAAAAATTATTTATTATCAAATTTTCAATATCAAACCAAACTCAAAAATAGCAACAACCGTAGCTTCCGAAACTTGTTTCCTCTTCAAATATTCATTCAAGATTGTAAGTTTGGCAGTCTCAAAATGCAAAATATCCGATTGCCGAGCCGATATGAACAACATGAAGACCCATTCCTCGTGTAAAACCAACCAAACCTTCCTCTTTCAATATCGGTATCACTGTTCCAGCCACACCGGTATACATAGCAGCGCCAAGTTCGTTGGCTGCCGCGACGTGAATCTGTGTCATCAACCTAGTCTTCACCACATCTAATGGTGTAGTTCTCGAAGCCGATATAGCACCAGCTAATGCGCCACAGCAAACACTCTACAATGGCTCAATCATATAACATACACCAATGTTAAGATACACATCAAACAATGATTTTACATGATTTTGATATGAACCAAGGTCACATGATTTTACACCGATTTTGATATACAATAATCAAGAATCTATGTAAAATGTTGAATATCTAAGCAATTCTTAGCTGGACAAATCAAAATCTATGCAGAGAACTCAAATGTCACAAATACTTACCACAAAGATGTTACAATCCGTTTTGAGAGAGAAGAACTCCAATGAAGTTTCACCTCCACTCCCAAAAGGCTTAAAATATTCATAAAGGTGTTCCATGAAGTATCAACGTCTTCTTCCCATTTTCAATCTACAATTTTCAAGGTCCAGGGCATACTCAAAACCAAAACAAAAGACTGAGAATTCAGATTTCGACACTAATCTACTAAATTTCGAAGTCAATTCGATTGTGTGATGAAGAATGGAGATGCAGGAGAAAGATGGAATGATCTATGCTGATATTCAACTGTTTGATGAAGAATTCCTATAGTAGGGTAGAAATCAAACGCATATACTTTGGAATACACAATGACGCAATTTTCATGTTTCTAAAATATTTCTATCACAAAGAGCATGAAGAAGACAAATTAATGGTAATACTAACTGCTTGTGTCCCCTTTGATCGTCATCTTCATTAACCAGATTACAGGTTGATACTAATAGTTACCACGAACAACCATCAAATTCCAGATTCTAATATTCTACAAACGAATAACGAAAACCATCGCTGAAATCAAATCAAGTAAAACGACTAACCTCTGGGCTGTGGGTTTGATGTATTGAAACGAAACGACCTTATCATCCTGAAGAAAATTTTCCAACAAGAGAGGATCGAGCGAAAGTTGGGGAACTTTATGGTGTGGAGAAGATGAGTTGAGGTGGGATTGTGCACGATCTGACAAGAAATACACGCCTGATCCGCTCCCCCCATTGATTCTCCCTGATCGGAATTCTAAATCGCCGTACAAATTCATATTTCAATTTTGATTTCGACAAAAAAATTCTGAAATTGTCGACGATAGAGAGAGAAGAAGACAAATGTGTTATAAGTTTTTTTATTTTCTTTTTTTCGTTTTGGAAAAAAAAAATCATGTCCACTAAGCAAGTGTCACGTGGCTCCGTTGATACGTCTCTAGAGTATATGTGGCATGAGACCATCTTTATCCATGAGATGTTGATGGTCTCATAAGCCCAAAAGCAATAAAAAATTAATGAAAACGTCTCAGCCCAAATAAAACGTCTCAGTGCGCTGAGACTTTTTCTGTGTCTCAAGCTGCGACGTGCCTTGTTCCCATTGGACCGATGAGATATTTCGTCGCAACGCAGAAAAGAAGAAAAAATCATTTCTTCGATCTTCATTGTTTTCTCCGCTTGGGAGAGAAAACGATGGCGATTTTTTGGGTGATTTCGGAGATTTCGTCGTCGGAGAAATCTCTCCGTCGA